GCACATTAAACCGTCTACTCTCGCCATCATTGATTTCTTTGCGGGTTTCCTGTTGTTGCTAAGATTTCTGTAAGTTGGTTGACTGGAAAGGTGGGAAGGTTTTGTACTGAGCAGCAGTAGTTCGTGATCATCAATGGTTTCAACTTTTATGTGCGACCAACACAGTAAGACAGTGAAGGGGAATTCATTGACCTAGTTTTTTTTGTTTATTTATCATGGCGCTTACCGAGCGGTGCCGGCTCCGCGTTGTAATATTCAATGATGATTTTGATTAAACTTACATTTAAATCAAAAATTCGTTAAATATTCTTAAAAAGGTTGGCTCAGAAGTCGTAGAGTGTCATGGATTATATTGCCACCTGTTGCGCTTAATAACATTTCTTTTAAGCCTATCTGTTTGTTCAGTAACTCAACTTTTTCTTCCTGGCGTTAATCCAACGCCATCATAGGGTCGCTATTCTTGTCAGCCTTCTTCACTTCCTTCTTTCTCCGGGATCTTTCGCCGTTACTTAGCTTCCACTTACTGACAGGTCCAAACGGTAGTATGAGCGGAAAGGAATTGCGGAAGTCATAGATCTACACGGTCGTTTTGGTTGTGTTTGCTTTCGGTCTGCCGTAAAACGCTATGCAACATGCTTTCAGAACGGATTCCTCACCGATACCAGCCAAACGTGCTTGCTCTGACGGTTCTGTGCAACTCGATATGCTAGTACCTGGCCAAGGTAACTATCTAGTTCAAATCATTTTTCTATTTCCTGATATGACAGTAACTTCTTAACTTTGCTTTACAAAGATTTTTACAATTGATCTACCTGTAAAATGGTGTGATACTGGCGTATGCTACTACTACTTTAGTATTCAGTACTACGAACTTCGGATCTTTGATTTCTTTTGATGTTTTGCATGAATTACGTGAATAATTATGTGAAAAATATTTGGAAAAACTGAAATATGACTGTGAATATCTGGTATCGAATGAGATAGNCCCGTGTTGTTGTTTTTATAAAGTCAATTCGTCGTGAATGCCTCGTACCCATCAAAAATAAATGGTAGCCATTGGAATTGAGGGCTAAAAATGGAGCAAGCTAATGCGTTTTGTCATTCCACTTAATAAAAAGTATTTTTAGCTTTTACGAACGTAAGCGATAGATCTTGAGCGGTACGTCATACATAAATTATTTCAGCTAATCTATTGCCTACGCTGCAGGTGCGTTGCATGAAGCTTGGTATTAAAGCGCTCGAGATCGTTCCATAGACGTTCATTGGAGTTCTTCATAGCTAGTAGAATTCGTATAATGGAAAATAAAGTATAAGTTAATATATTTGTACAAAAAAAGTTACTGGAACTACTGAAGTCGTTTAGCGTAAAAATAAAATAAGATTCTATATCATAGAAATAAATAAATCATAAATAAGTAGATATTTGAATATTTATACCGCCAATTCACTTTTTTCTCTATTTTTTACTACTAGCAGTCCGTGGATTTCACACCAGGACAAGGTGGGGTAGTAGGGAGAATTTGCGGCTCCTGCTCTTTCAGTTTGAGGGTCTTCTTGTCAAAAGCTTTTTTTTTCTCACCAGCAACAACTTGCAAAAGTGATTCAACGTTTAATAATACGAAGGGTTTTGTAATTTTCGAGTTCATTGTCTGCCTTTATATTATCTAAGTTTATGATTGACGGCAAGCAGCCGAAAAGTTCAACTGATTCTTGGTCTTCAAACAGTCTTTTGCAAAAGTTTTTGTACCGAATTAGCTCTGAACCGTGCATGCGGTTTTCCAAAAACTTGATAAGTGCTATTTCTGTTTTTCAGCCCTGATAATTCAAAGGCAGCGAGTGCCGCTGTGACCTGTGAACAGTTCCCGGAACAAATTTTGTGCGAGCAAACGTTACCTCCTTTCGTTTGAAGCCGGGCATACCCAAATTTCTTTATAAATGTAGTAAAGTAAAAGAAGGTTGACGTAGGTTGGCTATGCCTTCCCCCGTCTCTACATTTCTAGATGGGACTCAGATAAGTCATATACTAAAAAATGTTCTATATGAATGAGATCTCCATATTCCCTCTTTAATCAGAAAGTTGGCCAACAGCGAATTTTCCTATAAGCTTTGCAAAATTTTTGAAGTGTTCTAATGAGTAAGATAGTCTATTCGACAAACTCACTAAAACCGGTCGACATCGGAAACTAGAAAAAATAGCCAAAAAAAGGTTTTTGCCCTTAATGGAACAGAGTCCAACAAAGCGGTTGTCAAGTAAAATGTACGACATTTCGCACTCCTCTGTACTTGACAATGTTGTTTCAGTGACTCCATTCACGGTGCCCGCTGCACCTCGCCCGACTCCAACTCTTGCGCTCCAACCTGCCGAATTTCTTCATCCCAAAACAGAAGTCGGCATGGGAGCCGTGGATATCGCCGGGCCGCCATCACAGGCACAAATCCGTGAGCAACTTTAATAGTCGTTTTTATTTGAGCACTCATTTTGTAAGATCAGATGAGTTGGGTCCCTTGCTTTATTTCGTTAGCTTTCTGTTTTCAACTCTACTATTTCAACCTTTGACCACCTTGGTTTGGACTTTCATTTTGGGATGCCGGAAGTTGTGACGTTCTGAAACATATGTACTTCACAGACTAATACTCGGTACACAAAGGTATAATGCATGGTTTGAAAACCCACGAGCACAAATGCGAAGTGCCCTCGACTGTAATCTGGGAGCCCGATAAACTATGCCCGAAAATAGTTCCTATNAGTTGTGACGTTCTGAAACATATGTACTTCACAGACTAATACTCGGTACACAAAGGTATAATGCATGGTTTGAAAACCCACGAGCACAAATGCGAAGTGCCCTCGATTGTAATCTGAAAGCACGATAAACTATGCCCGAAAATAGTTCCTATGACGTAGTTTATTATCTGTCGATGTTGAATACATATCTAGACGTGCTTGAACCTAAAGTGATTTGAGAAAAGATACATCATTATAAGGGAACGATCAGTAAGTGAGGGAGGTTTTATGGCAAGCGTCGGACTATCTTACCCGCCTGGTCTAGTGATCGGATCACGCATCGATACTCGCTCAAGCTAACCAGGCCTTCCGTTCCTCCGAGGTGCCAAACTCGTATGATAGATAAAATCACCGACTTACACACCAGTTGGCTACAGAAATTTACTGTATAGACAGACCTTCGGCCCTCCGAGGACGGCTAGTTGATGTCAGACCTATTTGAGAAGACAAAGCACTGCCCCGCACAGTGGCTGGTCTTCACAGATCGTATTTGACCATAAACGCATTCGAAAGACTCCTACAATTCTGAATGTGAGTCATGTGCAAGTCTATATCGCAAACAGGATTGGTTAACATCAGAAGACTTTCAGACTTTATCGGAATGATGGTCATAGGTTGAGGCATGGTCTATTTGATAAGTAGGGCTAACATCTTTCGCTGTTATTTCCTCCTTTTCATTCCTCTTTTTTTCCTCCGGATCTTCGATCTTTTTAGGTGTAAAAAGTTTTCGTCAATTTGTCTGACAGCGGTAGGCAGCGCATTCACTCATCAATTCTCATTAATAGCTCTGCCTTGATTTTCTATGTCACAAAAAGATTCTTTCGATACCTCTTTTTATCCTTATCACCTAAGCATTTATTTCGCGCTACCCGTTAGTTGATGTTCGTTTTCAGTATTAGAATCGACAACTGCGTCGATGTTTCGGTCTAAAGTAGTTGTCGTCGTAGTTAGTTAATTTCAATTTCTAAAATAGGGCTAATTTAGATTTTTTTATCTCTCTCTAACTCTCTCTCTCTTGCTCTCTCTGTTACTCCTACTTTTTTACACGGCTAGTAGTTGTTTTTTTTACCTCCCACTCCATGTGTCTTCCATTTTGTTATTTTTCACTAGGTTGTCGCTCATGTCACATGCTCTATCTCACCGCTCCTATGTGAGCCCGTGAATACCCCGAACCATTTCTTCAACGCTTACCAGTCACACCATACAGCCGGTAATACTTTACAAAATTTGGTAGAAGTCCGTAAATTTTCTTAAGTACAAAAAAACGGGGAGAAGGTTGATGGTCGTAAATATTGTTAGCGGTTGATCGTCGCGCCTTTTATGAGCACGAGTGAAGGAGAATGGTGCTAGGAAAGGGATTAATGGGGAACGAATCGTGCTTCAACTTTC